GTTGGAGTTGGTTCTTCAATCCTGATATGTTCTACTTTCACTGGTTTAAGAAGAGTTGGAGTTGGTTCTTCAATCCTGATATGTTCTACTTTCACTGGTTTAAGAAGAGTTGGAGTTGGTTCTTCAATCCTGATATGTTCTACTTTCACTGGTTTAAGAAGAGTTGGAGTTGGTTCTTCAATCCTGATATGTTCTACTTTCACTGGTTTAAGAAGAGTTGGTTCTTCAATTCTGATATGTTCTACTTTCACTGTTGGGTTTTAATGTTTCGTCATTTCTATTGTTATGTATATTTCATTTAATCAAATAAACTCTATTGGTATTGATCGATATTGTTCTGGTGTGTTAATTCATTTTATTGCACAGAGGACAAAAGTTAAGCTGTTTTCGACAATAATAGGTTTTGAAATAAGTATAAAAATATTATGATCACTTCAAAATAAAAGTATTCATATCTCAAATATTGATAACAGTTAAAACTCGTGATCTAGATTACTGTTGCCCAAATGATTGAATTCGTTGTTGTAAGGCCACACAAGGGCTATCTGCGTTAAGAGTCCCTAATTTTGCTCTAACAGGCTTTATTTGTTTGTTTGAAGTTAAGCACAAAGCAACACAATGGGTTATTTGTGCTCTGTCAACCAAGGGTATTGAAACCCGGATTCTAGCGTTGTAAGTCCGTAGACATACTGCTGTGCCACTGGGGGGCGCACTAACAGGCCATAGGGAACATAGCTACTTCCAACTTTTAGGCTATACCCGTCTGACAAATAGTGAACTTTGTCTATCACTCCTATAAAGTACAGGACACGGTTGTTTTTGGCAACGGGAAGCAAACCATGAATCTTCGGATTCACAGTCCGGGCACTTTAACCATTGAGACATGCCCCAACTGTAAATATAGTTGACCTAAACTTTATGACATTTCTGTACTCCGTTTGTTTTCGTGAAATCCTTTCTCTTCTCTCTCTCTCATTTGTTACGAAGTTTGGCGGATTCCATTTCCACACGACTATATTTAGTTTGTATTTGAGTTTTAAAGTTTCTCCATCAGGTTATTTGGATGGATTTATTAGTTATAAATTATTCTTTTAAATTTTGCATGAACTTCTCCTTTATATCGGATAACTATTTCAAAATAACCCCGAGATTTCCAAGGAAAACGTCCAGTTTTCTTGATAAAATTCTCAATATTACATTGTTTCCTGGGGCATAGCAGTGTTTATGATAAGAATGTTTGTTTTTGAATTTCGCGCAAAGCTACACGAGGGCTATCTGCGCTAGCCGTCCCTAATTTAGCAGTGTAAGACTAGAGGGAAGGCAGCTAGTCATCACCACCCACCGCCAACTCTTGGGCTACAAGAGTTAACAGTTACTGTTGACTGGAATGGTGAACCATACAACAAGAGTTAACAGTTACTGTTGACTGGAATGGTGAACCATACAACAAGAGTTAACAGTTACTGTTGACTGAAATGGTGAACCATACAGCAAGAGTTAACAGTTACTGTTGACTGGAATGCTTCACATGCAAACAAGTCATCTGTCAACAGTAACAGGTATTATCTTTGTTTTCTTATTGAGATTTACCGATCCTAAAGTTGTTACTTCCACAGAATTGTAACTGACGACTGTGTTTTGCCAAGTATTTTAATATTTTTTTAAGCTAACACTGTTAACTCTACTCTATGTCAAATTATATGTATGTTGTTTTGAATTGTCTTTTACTTGTACAATAATCGTAAAACTTCAGCATGGATTCCACTTATTTGTTTTTGTGAATTATTCAGCCCAACAAGCTGTTTAAAATAATAAATATAAGATACACTCCCTTACTACATGAACCCTAGTCTAATGTTCATTTTTTACCAAGGTTACTGATGTTGGATGGAAAACCCCAAAACTGGTATAACTCGGTGACAAATAGTAAATCAAATGACAGATTGGCTTCAAATTTATTTTCTAGTTGAAAAGTTTTATAAAAAATTACACGAATCACAATTATATGCTCGAGAACCAAGATTTTATTCTATATAAGAAGAGAAAATAAATATTGATCCAAAACTTTAATGGTAATATAAGTAGTTGTTTGAAGAAACTGGTATGCACCGAACTTATCAGATCAGAAAATAAATACTTTTATCCAGTTATAATGAAAATTCACACATGTGTATGCCTTGAAAAGTATATCGTTAGAATTTAACACACTACACTTCTAAAACCTGTTCTCTTAATCTCAAGAAACATATATAAATCAGTTTACAACTTGCGTATGATACAACACAACGAAGGAAATGTTATACTATAAAATTACACCGATCTTTTTAAAAGTTTATCTTCAAACAAATAAAACAATACATAAAACAGATAATGAGTGAGTAAACTTGTCTATCTGTGCCTTCCTTGGTGGTTGGTTAGTGTCAGGACAAGATCACGGAGAAATGAACTATACAAATATCAAAAATAAGACACTAACACCTTGAGTTAAACAAATATACAGTACTTAAAAACTATACACTTCTCAATAATTCAAAACTCTTTAACTAAGTCAGAAGTTTGGCAGATGTGTAGTAAAATACGTGGAGCTAAAAAGTGAAAAAATAACCTTGCAGCATTGAAACGACTTGAAGTTAAAATCTGGTTATTTTTCTTTCCATATGTTAACATTATAACTACCAATTACTGTTTTTCTCATCTACACACTTCTTTTCAATACTGTTCATCAACTTTGATAATACTAAGGACTTCCAAACACTCGATATTATACAAGAAGTTTCTCCATTTCTTTATGCTGTGTACTGTACAAAGAAGTACGTTAGTACATCTACTGTTCTTGTGGTTCACATTCAAAACATCCTCAGTTATTATGTAACTTTTAAAAAGTTATCCAGGTATTATTGTACACTAGATCAAAATTTCTTTCAGTTAAATACATTTTTTTAAGTAAGACAAAAATCCAGATGCTAAAACACTATTAGGTCCAAAGATAAACTAGTCCTTTTTTTTTTAGCTCTACATGTTTAGTCCAATATTTTTTACTTTCTTTCAGAAAGTACAAGGAGTTGAGTTTGATAGACAGTGATTTTCTTGTTAAACTATATCGTAGACAGTGTTCAACCAAACTGAAAGCTGAAACCACTAGGGACCTGGCTAAAATTACCACCACCAAAGTTACTGAACGTAAAACCTCCTGAGCCACCAAAGAAAGTCTGGAAGATGTGGTTGGGATCAATATCGCCTGTTAAATAAAACAAAATTAAAGTATATACACACACCTATAATGTTATATAACATGAACTTTGTTCAATAATTATGTAAAAAAAAACCCAAAAAACCGATTGTTCATAAATATTACCAATAAGCAAAAGACATAAAGAATAATGAAATAGGCAATGTTACAATCTTCCTAAACCAAGTTAAATATAATTTTTGTCATTATTTTTAAAGATATCCATAATATGTCCAACTGTAAAATTTAAATCTTAAAATAAAACACTATTTCTTGCAAGATCAATCAACCTACAAGTTGATAACTTTTCTACACACCATCTAATGTACAAGGACATTGAAACCAAATCAGATGACTTGAGAGAGACGTGGGTGAATAGGATTGCCAATATTACAGTTTCTTAAGCCTTTTTTTTTCTCATGAGAACAGCCATTATTAGCTTGTTATTGGTACCAAACACTATGCCCAGTTTCAAGGTACTGTTTTTCGGGTATAAAGGGTCTCTTTCATAACCGTTGTCTTCCCTTCCCAATGTTGTTCTGGGATGGTTTCAGAGCCCACTGCTTTCCTAAACATTCTGTTATGCAAGTTTTTTCAAATTCCAGGGACAACTCTGAATGCCACCTTCATTGAATTTTGTGTGCCTTTGTGCTAAATTGTTTAGTGATCTCACTATAATTTCTTGGGATTACCGTGACAAATTCCTCTAATTGTAAGCTCATTTGCAGTATCATTGCCCCCTGAAATGGTTGGAAAATCGTAATGAACTAGGTATAATGATAGTAAACTAGTCATACCTGGTGCCACGGTTCATATCTATGATGACACGCTACTGCATTAGTTTTTGTAAATCATCGTTTTATATGACTCCCAAAACTATCACGAGTACTCCTGCATGCTAAAACTTAATCAGTTTCGGCCGATAAAAAATAATTTGGAGACAGAAAAAACAAACACACTTAAATGTAGTCTTACCTCCTCCAAAGCCTTCCATGTCTTCCAAATCTTGACCACTATCATAACGTACACGTTTCTTATGATCTGACAAAACATTGTATGCTTCTCCAACTTCTTTAAATTTTTTTTCTTGCTCTCTCCTTTCCTCTTCCGATGCACTGGTGTGACGATCTATAACACAATGATTATCACCGTAAGTTCAAAATTTCATGTGAACTGTAGGTAAACATGGGAATAAAAATTAGGTTATACATCTTAACATTTTGAACTGATAAATATCTAACTTTGGGTGGTTGGTGTGTGAGTTTTTTTGTTAGGTAAAACTGTCTTACTATTCTTATACTAACATATTTGTGGTTCCTGTTCTAGTTTCCATGGTTTTTCATACTGTAAGACTTGTTTAATCTTTCTCAAGTTTGTCTCTTGCTGCTAAACTACTAGAATGGTCAGTAAAAGTGGTTTACTTTCTTTCATTTTTTTTTAATGTATAGTGTTACCAATTTTTAAATATGTAGTGAATGGCTTATTACTTGATATGTTTATATTAGGTTATTCTAATAAAAATACTATGTAGTTGGAAAGTTAATAAATTCATAATAAGTTTTAAAAAAAGCTTATTTAAACAAATATTAAAACTGTAGTGATACTGTATTCTTTATGATATTGTGCAGTTGTTTGAAAGGTTTGTTTTGTCACACTATCCAGTCACAGATTAAACTGTTTCATTCAATGATGAAACCAGAAGAGAACTTTAAATTTTAAACTTCCTTTGTATGGTATGACAAAAAATTTCAAGTTTTTTAATTTACTGCTTCAGTAGCTTGTGCTTTTATGGCCACATGGCATGTATCTAGAAGATTTTGACTGGAGAATATATATAAAAGTAAAGTTTTAAATAAAGATAACTACCCATCTTACTAATTAGTAAGCTCAATCATAACATACCGGGATGATGTAGCAAGGCTCGTTTACGATAAGCTTTTCTAATCTCCTCTTCAGAAGCATTTTTTTCCACTCCAAGAATCTTGTAGTAGTTTTTTCTTTTACTCTTCTTTAGTTCTAGTTTTGCTTGCTCTAAAAGCTGTTTGTGTGCTGTGCAAAATATGGAAAAGGTAACAATTTAATCTCGATACGAAAAGTTCTTAATATACCCCCTTCAATCATACATGTTTTATCACTAGCATATAATGTACCCACGTTCTCCTACGGGGTTCAGAGGTACCCTCATGATTCACAGAGGCCCCGGTGTATCAGTCAGCATATAATGTACCCACGTTCTCCTACGGGGTTCAAAGGTACCCTCATGATTCACAGAGGCCCCGGTGTATCAGTCAGCATATAATGTACCCACGTTCTCCTACGGGGTTCAGAGGTACCCTCGTGATTCACAGAGGCCCCGGTGTATCAGTCAGCATATAATGTACCCACGTTCTCCTATGGGGTTCAAAGGTACCCTCATGATTCACAGAGGCCCCGGTGTATCAGTCAGCATATAATGTACCCACGTTCTCCTATGGGGTTCAAAGGTACCCTCATGATTCACAGAGGCCCCGGTGTATCAGTCAGCATATAAT